TGTCTTGGTCTTTACTTATAAAGCACCTTGAGGTGCTTTATAAGTAAACAACCATTGTTGTAATTTGACAGCATATAAATAAAACTGAATCGAATCAAATTCAAAGGGTAAATCTCTGAGATGATTCGCTGTGGGAGAATCGGTATGTTTGATTTGGCACAGATTTTGCATCACATGTTCTTCCTGACACAACATCTATCTGGGCCTAAGAACATCATTATGAGTCAACAGCATTATAACTTGACTTTCCCTTGAATTGTACAAATTTTGATTTGTTTTTTCAAAACCAATCATCTATAGCTTTCTTATAAAAAAGCATTTTCTTGGCCATTGACATCAATATTACTCTCAAAGAAACCAAAGAGCAAACAACATATAAATGCAACATAGATAATAAAAATAAATATAAGACAGTTCAGTGTGCTTGGTTTCCATCATTACAAAATCTAGTTCTGAGAAAAACCTTGATACTGCTTAACTGATATTGATTTTAGATTTTTGTGTATTTTAATGTCAGCTACATCTCAACAGCTTTAAAGCAAAATAACAGATTTTTTGATTTAATGTGACCACATTTGTGTCATATTTTTTTTCTCCAGTAAACGCAAATAATATTGTTAGGGTTTATAAACAGAGTCTTACCTCTTTCATAAGTTTTTCCTTGAGACATGAAAATGGCCTGAACTCAGAGTGGATGCGCTGCAAGTGCTATTAATCTGAGGAAGACAACAGTGGAAATTTTAGCTCTCACTGCTGTATCGTATCATTTCCTGTTTCTATTATGATGCTGATGTTTTGTGTAGGCTGTTTAATTAAAAACCTTTTAGTCACATGAAGTTAAAATGTGCTTATCAGTGCACCAGTGAAAACTCAGTTCCTATTTACACCAACTGTACTGCTCACCAACATCACTAGAAATAATTTGGTAGTTATGAAGCATATTTAAGAGAATGGAACATGGAAACACCAGAAACTGTTTACACTAAAAAAAAGACATACTATGATGAACATAAATTTCTAGAAGAGCGTCAGCTATCACATTTTCCAAAGCCTTCAGGTGTCAGATGTGCATATGGTAAGGCTGTAAAAATACGAGCCATGTTATCAAGCTCTGAGTTGGATTCTTATGCCACGAGAGGACTCTACCACTACCCAAATATACTTCAAAATGTTTCAAAGCCAGAATTGAAGCATGAGTTTCCTTTTCCAAAACTGGCAGGAATAAAACTTGTGGGAGAAGTAGCTCAATACCTGCTGCATCCTGATGCAACAATACTGCCCCAGCATCCACTTTGCTAGCGTCTACCTTCAGTTGGAAAGAATCTCTGAGATGGGGTCTCTCAAGCCCTGGAGCAGAGGCAAGGATAGCCTTGACATCCTCAAAGATTGTCTGAATGTGATCTGACCATTGGAACATAACCTTGGGACTTAAGGAGTCACTTAGAGGAGCAAGCACTGCAGAGAAATTCTCACAAAACCCACAATAATAAGTTCTTTCTCAGTAGTGGGAGAATTGAAGTGATCAGTAGCTTCCACTTTAGCTCTTACTGGATGTACCTGGCCCTGTCCAGCCACCTTACCCAAGTAAGTCAAAGTGGCCTTAGCAAACTCACACTTGGCAAGGTTTGCTGTAAGATTTTACATGCAATCAAGGAATGCACAGATGGACTTAAAATGATCTTGCCAGGTGTTGCGATATATACCACTATATTATCTAAAAACACAGCCCACCCTTCCACACCAGAAACCACAAAACTCATTAGGTGCTTGAGTGAGGGAAGACACATAGCATACAGGCTTAACCCTTAACCAACACAACAGGCCTAGGCTAAGTGTGTACCTTCTTCACTCACAATTTGTTTATACACCACATTGTATTTACCCACATAGCAAAATTGGTATGGCCCGGATCTGGCCCACACGATGTGCTTACACGTGGCCAACATACCGCAAAGAATGACGGCCCAGATCTGGTTTGCCAGAGGTCGCCCACACATGGGCTAGCACAAGGCCAGTTGCAGACACACTGGTGGTCCTCTGCTGCCCCATGTGTGGATTACATGAGTGGGAATGGTTCTTTTTCTGCTGTCTTTCTCTCTCTCTCCCTTTCTTGCCGTCACTTCTAAAGCTTCCCCCTCTTTCTAAACAACCAAATGTCATGTCGCCATATCATTTTTGATTGGTCGACATGCATTTTCCACCAACACGAAAGGGCAGTTTTTTGTTTTGCAGCAAAAAACCAGCAGGCGTGGAGTCCTCTGGCCAACACAAAGAAATTGATGATGGTGGCCGAATACGCGACTGAGCTAATGACTGAACTGAAGGTTGAGCTGCAACCTGACCAGGTAACAGAACTGCAGGTTGCGCTAAAGGCCAAGTAGAAACACAGATCGATAGAGGAGCAGGCTCATTGAAAACAGTCTTTGTCAAATTAGCTCTCTGCTCTGAGTGAGCAGATGCAGATCAACAGAAGTCCTTAACATTCTCAGTTTTTAAATTAACAGTCCTGGTGATTTTAACTCCAGGCTTGGAAGAAGCAGAGTGACT